GACACTTTTGTATATTGCGTTTTCATAAAACGGGACCAGCCTACACGTCCATTTCATCTGAACGCTTGCTAAATTGCCTTTCCAGTGTACAGAATTGAACAGCCAAGAGAGTCTGGAAGTGAGAAATGCAGCATTGGGAGGTCAACAATTGCAGCCAGGGGTCTCCCAGGCCATGTCCCCAGGCCAGAACCATTGCAGGAGCATGCAGCTGCCCCACCTGGGCCCAATGCCCCTCAGCTGGTCCTCAACAGCCCCTCAGAGCCCGCATGGACAGCACGTGGTTTGTCTGTTTAGAAATAAAATAATGCTCGGAGGAGAGATGAGGAACTTAATAGGATTTAAAAAGCCACAGGACCCGATGGGGCTACAGATGGTGGAGGGGCTGGGAGGAGGGAGTCGGCCTGGGTTTATGGTGGGGAACGTGGCCTCCGGGAGGGCCTGGGAGCTGCATCACACGCATTGTGTCCAACCTCATTAGCCGGCCCAGCGGGACTCTGCCACCACACCAGTGCTATGCAGTGAGGGGAAGGACACCCTGAAGATGCCGTTAAATGTACCAGGGGCAGCAAAAGGCCGAGAGACCGTGGCTAAATGACTTGGCCAGCACCTGCCTCTGGGCTCCAAGTGGAAATGGAGTAAATCATGGCTGATGCCTTCCTTGCCCTGCCCAGGTCCCACCAGAGACAAGTTAAGAGACAGGTACACAGAAATCAGAGAGAGAGAGGCACAGGCATGCCAACTCTAGAAACGAAGGCCCACTGAGCATATGGAAACTTCAATGGGATAGTTTAGCTCCAGGCAACTCTGCAGGACTTGGGGAGGGTGGGTGGGGCATAAAGAAGTTTCTTCACCTTCTAGAAGCTTCCCTGGGGTGTCTGCCTACAGTAGTTTACTACAAATACCTCTAGGAGCTCCCTTCATGGCTGAAGCTCAGGACTGCTCTCCACTGGTCCCTCTCCAGTCTACCCCCAGTCCTGTAGTCAGTGGGGGAAAATAGGATCTCATTATGGCAGGCGCAGCCCCTTCCTGCATTCACCTGATCTCCACCTCTGGCTTATGGGGCCTCCATCCAGATTCTCAGCCTCCCTTCCCTGAGCCTGGCAAAGGCCTCCCCAGAACAGTCCCCACTGGCCAGGGAGGAACTTGGGAGCTCCTTAGCAGCTTATCCTTCCTTCTAATTTGGGCCTTACCTGCCACAGTCAAAGGTCTGTGTGAGCTGGTGACTGCTTTTGGCAGTGTGTCTAAGCAATTGTGCCTGATTCTGCCATAGAGGCGACGAGCTGTATGTATTGTGCATGTGAGGGTTCCAGTTCCCAGACCTGGGGGTGGGGATGGCACACCCTGGAAGGCTGCATTCCCCTCAGGGAGGCTCCCTAATGCATCAAACCTGGGTGTTTGAAGACAGTGACCTACCAAAAGTTGGTCTGGTTATTCTGAGACCCTGCTGGGCCCGGCCTCCACTTTGCCTCTCATGTGGTAGGCCTAACCTCACATTGGAGAAGAAGAACTGAGCTCCTGCCAGGACAGGGGCCTGCCAGCCTCAGGCCCTGCACTCACAGACCTCTTGCCCATATTCCACCCATGCCCATTCCCAGACGCCCTGTTCTCATGCATGTGGGCTGATGTGACCTCTAGAAGAATGAGAATGGGCAGAGAAGCCCATTGATGGGCTGCAGCCTCCTGTGTGGTGAGGCAGAGGAAGCTTCCTCCTGACCTAGCCAGGGCCCCAACATGTTTCCTGAGCAGAAAATGCTGCTTACTGGCATCAAGTGCTACCAGAGGGAGCTGAATGGAGGTCACAGGGGTATATGTATCCTATATCAAGTCTTTGGGACACTGTGTGGTTTGAAAGGAAAGTTCCCAGAACTGGGGTGAGGACAGGACTCACCACTGAGCAGGGCTGGGGCCCACTTCCTATGGGGTCATGTCCTTTCTTGCCCCTGCATTCTCCTCCCCCAACCCATTTTCTTCAGATCTCTCTCTCTCTTCCTTCTCTCTCATCTCTCTATTGCTCTCACTTCCTTCTTTCTTCTCTTCTCTCCTCCTTCCCATTTCCCCTCACATCCTCCTTTCTGATCCTACTCTCTCCGCCACAGTCCTTCCACATCCTTCTTTCCCCTTTTTCTTTAATCTGTTTTAAGTTGTCCTCCCTACTCCCCTCCCAAGAAGTATTTAATGGATATTAAATTATTTTAAACCAACTTTCTTTAAAAAAAAAATAGCTTGGTGATAATGCTGACTCAGGACCATCTCACTGTTTAATATTGAATATGCAATTAATAGATAGATGTTTAGGTTTGGCTCTCTTTCTCCCCTTTCTATCGCAGGAAGAATAAAAGAGCTGATTAATCTGGCTTGGGGCAAGCGTCAGTGGCAGGAGATATATGGGAGAAAGGAGATGAGGTTAGCAACTCTGAGTCAGAGAGCGATTGCCTCCCAGGCAAGTGAGGGACGACAGGGCTAGAGGTAGCGCTCAGCTGGGCTGCTGGGCAGAGGGCATCGCCCACCCCCTTCAGCTGCAGACTGGGTGGGGCCTTGTTCATACCATTCTTGTTCTCTGTTCTCTTCCAGGTGTGGAATCTCCCTTCCTTCAAGACCAGAATTGACCCTCTTCAAATGTCACTTCCTCCAACTCTTCTAGCTGTCCCTTCCTCGGGGCACCCATCTAGGACTACTGTGCAAGCTACCTGTGTACTCTTGAGATTTCCCTCTGATGCTGCATCCTGGTCCAGCTACCTGAACAGGGTGCTGCAGGTGAGTCCCTGCATGCCTAGGTGACCAGGGACCCTGGCTCTGCTGTGCCTGCCTACTGGAGATGGTTTCCAGGAGAGGCCCCTTGCTCTGCCATTAGCCTCATGAGTCCTAGGTAAGGAAGAGTGAGGATGTACTCTTATTATCCAGGGAAAGAACAAAAGCAGGCATCCTACGCCAGGTGGGCTTTGCTCACTCAGGCCCCTCACACTTGAGCCATCTTTACCCCTCAACTAAGTGGACCTGGATTATCAGCATCCTCAGGACAGGAAGGACTCAGTGGGCCTGGGGTGGTGTGTCTGTTTCTTGGGGCATGACTCCTTCAAGCAGCACAAAGATGCCAGCCAAGCCCTGGTGTGTGAACTCTAGGCCCAGGCAAGTGGGGGACCTCAGCCACAGAGGCCTTGTGCCTAGTTGAGCAGCCTGAGCTGGAGGGGATGAGGGAGTGTTCTGGGAGGGGCAAGCAGGCCACATGTGATCAGTCACATTACAATCCCCTCCAGCACAATTAACTCTCCAAATTTGTAAGTAGCTTTAGCTCATTTCATCTTTTGCCCTTAATTTAACCCTGGTAAATTTTTGTAGTGGCGAAGGGTGAGGGAGAGAGAAATTCCTTAGTACCCTGCTGAGCTAAGGAGCAGAAAGACTCAAAGAGTAGAAAGTTCTAGGCCTGGGGAGGGTGGTGAACATGGGCACTTGGGTGAGAGCCTAGGGTGGTGGGGACTTGCAGAAGAAGCCAGGAGCTCCAGGCCAAGAGGCAGCAGATGGTTGTGACTGATTTCCTAGTCCTATTACCTGGGCTCTCATGCTGGACCCACTAGGCCTGCCTGGGGGAAGAGTAGGCTGGGAGACTTTGGGCAGGGAGCTGTATCCAATGTCACTTTTTCAGGGTACATTTCTCTGAGTGTGATGGAGTGTTCTGGATTTTTAGACCCTTTCTAGGCAGTTCCTATTCTGTGGGAGTTTCCTTTGAGGTAGAAGGGTGGCCAAGGCCTCTCCCATTGCTAGAAAAGGCTGGAGCAGATGGTTCCTCCTTCTCTGTCCTGGTCCATCTCATGTGGCTGCTCAGCTTACCATCTAGTAGGGCTTTTGTGTGTGCTTAGGGTGGATCTTCTCACCAGAGGCCAGGAGGGAGTGCCCCCGGAGGGTCTTTGGACTGGTCCAGGACTGAGTTTCCTGCTCAGGGAAGGGACTGAGAGCACAATTTGGGGCTGAGGCTGGGCAGGGCCCAGTAGGCATGAGGCCCAGTAAGAGGTGGCAAGGGGCTGGCAGTCAGCAGGAGCATCAGGAAGAATGATACCCGCCTCCCCCAGGAGGCAAGGCAGGAAGGGCAGACCTAGCTGGGGTCTGCAAATGGTTTCCTCCATTTGCGCTGGTAGGTCTCTTTCTCTTTATTGGGTGAGGTGAGTCAGGCTCTGCACCATGGGGCAGTTTGTTGCAGGAGGAGCCAGTACTTGGGTGGTAGAGGCTTGACATTTGGTGATGGAGGTCTTCTTTAAAATTGTAGTATGTTTGGACCCTATGGGGTGTGATGGTGGTGCTAGGGGCAGTTCTGTGCCCAGAGTGGACCCAGGTTGATCCTGGAACTGAGGCGAAGTTGAGTAGTACAGCCATAAAGGCACTGTGACTCTAGAGAGGCTATCCCCTGGAGACAGAGTTGCCCCTGGCTGGCCAGGGCGTCAGGGAGACAGTTCCTTACACCTGGGCTTTGAGTGGGGCTTGGCTACCTCATGCCAGGCTCTGGCAGGCTCTGCATTCTGGGGCAAGCATTTATGAGTGAGACCATGTACTTCTCTATCCACTGCTTATATCAATCTCTCTGATTTTTAGTCCCATGTCAGCCTTGTTGTCCACCCGCCCCTACCATACTATACCCCCTCCAGCCTGCACATCTTGGGTATAGCTATATCCACTGCCCACCTCCTGGTCAGGCATCTATTGGAATAGTCAACAGGGCTTTTCTTGACAACATGGAAGTGGACACGCCCTTTGGGGTGTCAGGAGCAGGCAGAAAAATGCCTAAGACAAGTGACTTGTTTTCTTAGAGGCACAGACCAGCAGCCAGCTGACTCCAGTCTCCCCTTCCCCCACTGCCTATCCACACCAGTCACCCCAAACTCCAAAGTCCTGTCCCCATCCCCAACCATGAGGTCCCCAGAGGGACAGGAGGAGGCAGCAAGGAGTTGCTGCACCCGGACAAGAGGGAAGGGAAGAGGGGAAGTGAGGGGCAGAGACAAGTGGGCCCTCACGTGAAGGGGGCTGGCGCAGGCAGCTACTACCTCCTCGGCTCTCGCTGTCCGCGGGCTTCACCTGGATTGGCCGGTTCATCTGCAATAGAACACAGGGACAATGTTAGAGTGGGCCTGGGGAGGAGGGGACAGCACCCCACACTCACAGGTACATGGATGCAAGTGCATAGACCACACCCACCCATACTCTGACCACACGCTGGAGGCTAACAGGCTCAGCCTCTCAGAGCTCCGCCCATCTCCCTTCACTGCTCGGTTCCTGTGGGCCCCTTATTTCAGGGGGTTTCTCTGGATTGGAGAACCTTTGGGGGCTCCTCCTCCACTTTGAGCAGCTCTTGTTAGCCAGATACCAGAATCCGAGGTTGACAGAATGCCTGCCCCATCTCCTACACCCACGAGGCTCTCATGTACCCAAAGCACATCTGTGACCCAGCTCTGAGTCACTGAAGACAGCAGGTTTTGCTGAATCAAGCTGGTCTCTGGTTGCAGACAGAGCCCCTGCTTAGGCCAGGGCATGGCATTGAGCTTCACTTCACCCTGGAAGACTTGACCTATGGGACAGGGGTGACTGAGGCAGAGTTCAGGGATAGGTCTCCTGATTGCAGCCAGGGTAATCCCCTCAAGGTATGTGTGGAGTGGGTACGGCCACTTGTCTCTGGTGCTGTCTAGGTGCCGGCAGGACACTAGGGAACAGACTGACTCCCTAGGCTAGCTGGCTGCCGGCCTCTTGCTTGGATCCGTGTCAATGCCCCATTTGGGCCACTAGGGGTCTCTGAACTCCAAGGATCCTGGCTTTGCAGCCCATCTTCAGCCCTTGCCTGTTGTACCAGGGTAGTTTGCCAGCCCTGCGTTCTCATCGTATTTCAGACAATAAAAATAATAGAAATCATGCTAGAGCATGTATTTTATGTCTTTGCCAGTGTTTATGCTTGTCATGTCCCTCCAGATCTCTTATTGCATTTGCATTTCTTGCACCTTCTCAGACCCTTAGAGGCAGACAGGGCATCAGGGCACCCCCATTTTAGAGATGGAGAAGCCAAGGCAGAAAGAAGGGCATGTGCTTCTCCACGCCGCCTGTGGCAGGAGGAGGCTGGGAACCAGGCCTGCCAAGGCTGTTTCTGTGCTTCCTAATGCACCTTTAGACTGGGCTGCCAATTCCCCTCCGGAACAGAAGTCGGGCCAGCCAGTCACAAGCTGCCGCCTGCTTTCCCGTCTAGGATTCAAAGTGAGTTTTGGCTGTGTCGAGACAACAGTGGTGGCGGGGGCCAGGGAGTGAGGATGCCTGTGACTCAGCAAGGTGAAGCTGAGGCCAGGGGAAGGGCAGAGCCATGGCAAGGAAGGACAGAAGCAGGAGGCAGGACGCAGAACAGACAGGGAAGGGGTACAGGGGGCCAGTCCACTGAGAGGGGCTAGGCTGTCATTATCTGCCACCAGGTCCCCATTTGACATTCCTGATGGAGTTGAGGGAAAGAAAGGTGCGTTGTATATAAGCTCTGGCAGCAGAGGAAACTGTCATGTTAAAGCAAACCCCACTCCCTGGGAAGAAAGAGGGACATGAAGATGTTTCTGGTTTCCCCTAAACCATCTCCTTTCAAGGTCTTGAGGAGAGAGTTTAGAAGGTCCACCAGGTGTCTGGCTAGGGAGAGGGGCTCCAGGGGGCAGCCAGGTCACTTCTGGTTTGCTTTTTGGAATGCAGCATCCCATCCTTTTCTAGGTTCATTCTTTCTTCCAGGGATCTCCCTTCCTCCTTGCCTTCCTCCAAGCCTCCTCTACTCCAGGAGGGTCCCACGGTCTGGCCTGGATGCCGGGACACTGTTTGGGTCATCATATTCTCCTGCACATAATTCTACAGACTTCTTGCTTACATAAGTTTACAGTTCTCTGAGGAAGGCATTATTATGTCCATCTTGCCAATGAGGAGACCTAACTGGGATTCAGCCAGGAGGGGCAGGTGCAGTGCTAATGATGTCATGTGATTGGCTGTCCTGTATTTTCCATCAGTGACCCCAGCTGCTCTGGAGGAGGGGCCCAAGGAGGAAGTCAGCGGGAAAATATCCATGTGGAAAGGACAGTTTGGTGCCAAGTTTCTCTCTCTCTCTCTCTCTCTCTCTCTCTCTCTCTCTCTCTCTCTCTCTTTCTGTAGTACTGAGGATCAAACCCAGGGCCCTGCACATGCTAGGAAAGCACTCCACCACTGAGCTACATCCCAGCCCTAGGGTCCTGTTCTTTGTGTCACTGAACTTAATACAAACTCTTCAGCCTGAGATCTGGTCCTCTTGTACCACTGCTCCCTCCACCTCCACCTCTTTCTCTCCAAGTCCATTCTCTGGGCCTGCAAATTTTCCCTGCCCCTGAGCCTCCTCCTCCTCCTGACAGCCTACTCATTCTTCAGGGCTAGTCTGTGAGGTTCCTGTTGTGGACTGAATCATCTCTCTCCAGAGTCACATGGTAAAGCTATAACCCCCAATGTGACTATATTTGGAAATAGAACTTTTTAGGAAGTAACTAAGGATAAATGGCATTATAAGGGTGGAGCCCTAATCCCACATGATTGGTGTCCTTATGAGAAAAAGAAGAGACGTCAGGGGCACACGCACACAGAAAAGGCCATGTGAGAACATAGCCAGAAGGGGATCCCCTTCAAGCCGGGAAGAAATCCCTCACCAGAAACCAACCCTGCCCAAAATTTGATCTCATAGTTCCAGCCTCCACCATGGAGAAATACATCTTGGTTATTGAGCTACCCAGTCATCTTGCTATGGCAGCCCCAGCAGGAGACTAAATCCCCTAGTCTGAGAGCCTGGAGATTCCCCAAGGGGGAAAGGATACTACAGGGAATCCCGCCCTCTTTTCCATATAGTAGGCACACCCAAGGCTGGGGATTGACCTTCAGGAGGTGAGAGATTCAGGCTCACTTTTGAGGAATAAAGTGTGTGGAGCTGAGAAAGGGAGTGAGGCTGTGCAGGAGGCTGCATTATGGGTCGGAGTGTGCTTAGAAGATCCCTCATCCTTAGGGGCGACGTAGGGAAGAAGGCTGGGCTGCGGGAAGGAGGCTCCTTCCCTGTTTCTGGGTTCCACACCAATCTTCTCTGGGTGGGCCTGAGAGCAGTTGGGGTGAGTCCTGTTTCTGGGCAGGGGCTTGAGTAGAGCTATTTCTAACACAATTGGTCCCATTTTCCATGGTAAATTTAATGAGGGAATGAAGGTTCCATGTTCATGGAACCCAGGTGCTTGTGTTGCCCAGACCCATGCTCCTGTCTTAGGCTTGCCAGATGCCCTTTGGGAAAACCCTCCTGTCACCTCCGGACAGCATGCCAGAGCTCCTCCATGGCTAGGTGCTGGGCTCGCCCCCCTCACACACAGGTCCCTCGGCTTCTTTCCAGGTTCCCTGTGGGCTTTCAAACAGGGGGCATCTGGGGTCTTTTTCAGCCTCCAACATGCCCTCAGTCCTGGGCTGGGCACCCACAGGTACTCCAAGCAGATCAGTGGAGCAGAACTGATTTGGTTTTCATGGTGCTGGGCCTCCTGGGGAGATTTTTCATGTCTCATTCTGAGCTCAGGGTTGTCAGTGTCCAGATAGCCTTTGCAGGGCTCAGAGAGGTGCTGGGCTAGATGGTGAGGAAAAATATAATCCTGTGGTTTCTCCACTCTCAGCAGAAATGACTTGTTAGATTGGTGTGGGAGGGTTTCTCGGTTATACCGGAGGCTTGGGCCTGAAGGGGACCTCTTTCCCTTGCTCCTGACCTTGCCCTAGTCCAGCCTGGCCAAGCCCTAACTCTGCTTTGGGGAGGGAAGTGTGGATGGATCGAACTAGCCTGGGGACAAGAGGCTGGGTGAGGCCTCAGAAATGGAACGAGAGGACAAAACAGAGCATGGCCAAGGACGGGGAGAGGCCAGGAGGATGCCCAAGAGGCAGAGGGAAAATGAAGGGCCTGAGGAGGATTGAAGAGTGAGGGAAGGGCCAGAATCACCATCTCCTTACCCTGCTCTTGTAACTTTGCTTCTCAGGCCCTGGCCCTGGCCTCCAGACTCCTTTGGTGCCTGTCTTCCCCTGTCTCACGTTCCTGTCCAGCCATTCTTTCCTGCAGTGCAGTGTGCCCCTAAAAGGACTCTGGGCCTGTACTGGCAGGAGCCTGGTCGGGTACAGGGGCTTCTTACTGACTCTCTTTCTGAGATGTCATCAGCATTCCCACAGTGGCCCTGTGGCCTTCAGGTGTCCAAGAGGAGTTTTGCCCAGCTCGGGCCACCTTCCCTGAGTCAGAAACAGCCCTCTGACACCTCCTTGGAGGCTCCTGGGGCCTGTCCCCTGGGATCACCACTAGCTGTGTTTCCCTTCCAGCCACACCCCCTCCCCCCGGGAGGAGCCACCTCTGCTTCCTGCTGTGGGAGAGGGTGTACAGGCAGGTGGCTCCTTCCCCAGCCTTTCCACTCTGACTGTGGCACCCTTCCCCCTCCCAGGCCCTCTGCCACTTTTTGCATCAACACATATCCATGCATTAAACAAGACATTCCATTAATTTCTTCATCATCATAACTTAAGCTGGGACATACCCTTTAAATATTCATTCAGCTATGAAAACTGGGCATTAAAATTTTAATAATGTCAAGCTCATTTGAACCAGGCTCCTTGGGGACGATTACGATACAATTAGAATAAATACGATGATTGAGCTGGTCGAAAGGCTTCACCTGTCCGGTCGTGGCTCCCTGTGTAAGGAGAGGCCTATGCTTCTGGAAAGACAGACTGACAGACAGGCCAGCTTCTTTCCTGAGTCCTTCTCCCCTTCCTCCACCTCCCTCCTTGCTTCCTCTCTGTGCTCTCTGATGGAAGCCAGACTTCACCTCTTCCTATAAGGTCCCTCTCCATGTCTGCTCCTCATCACTTACAAAATACAAGTTCAAAGATAAAATTTTAAGAATTTTAAGATGGTGAAGACCAAGCAATAAACCCCATGTCTGCAGGTCTTCGTCTCCTGGTCCCTGAGAACCAGGTTGCTGCTCCTCATTCCCCTCTGGGAAGATGGCTTTGATGAACAGTGCAACTTCCAGTTACTTTTTTCCTAGTCCTCCTGGTAAAAC